AGAATCTTGACGACCTGATCTGAATTTTCGTTATTTTTTTAGTTTTACTTGTCAAAACATGTAACTTTATCTTCTTTCTTGATTCTCGGTCAAATTCATTTTTGCTGCCCCCACTCATGTTTGAACGGCTTATGTCACCTGGTTTTTTCGTCGATGCGATAACTTACAGTCCCCTTTGAAAGACGGCCTATCAATTGTCCATTGCTCTGTTATCACGTGGAATAACTGATCTGCCCCCTGCTGTTGATGAGGCTGCATTTTATTATTTACTTTGCGTTAAAGCAGTTAAGCTAGACTGTCTTAGCTCTGAAGGATTGCTGATTCCCGAAACGATGAAACAACATATACGGGCGTTTAACGATCTTATCTTACATTTTTGTCCGTATTTTATGCTCTGTACGTTGACTCGTCGCTCCGCAATGGATTCGAACATCGGACCTACCAACTACTTCGGTCCCATAAACTTCTCGTCTCTCTGACTTGTAGCTTTGCTACAAATTGTTTATTGCAAAAGTCACATGCCAATATCGTTCGTACTCTACGTATACCCCTTCTGTTTACGATGGCCTAATCTTAGTGTTCGCTCTCGATTTCCATTCTTTTTCTCCTATAAATCTTCGCCGATCTCCTTTTCTCAGAACTCCGAACAGCGTGTGATTGCTCAAAAATGCCAAACGCTTTCCTCCTCGTTCATAAACCCCAAGAATTTTGACACCGAAATTTCTTGCGGACGACAGTATATCAAGGACTCTGTGCTTCAAGGCAACATCAAATAGCCGTTCATGTCACACCCTATACATAGAAACCAAATAAAGTGTTTTATTACAAGCTTGCTTGCTTGCTTCCATTTTTTGTTTTGATGACGGGAGCGAATTTCATTACTATAGGTGTTCCGTATCGTTTCCCGCTAATTTTCCACATTGCAGAATTTTTGCGATACTTGTTAGTGATACATTCATGTTTTCATTCTTGGCTCATCAGGGCATCGATATTTGCAATATCAATTTTTGTTACTCTTCAGTCGATTACCTGATCATTATCACGTCTATCGTACAACTAACCCCCTGGGGGTCCTCATCTCTGTTTCATGTTTTCATTTAGACTGGCTCTGAATTCCTATTTATAATTGATGCCCACAGCTTTTAACTGTTTGGTGCGAATGCCATTATAAGTGCTCATCAAAGTGCATCAAGCTACTCGCAACCGATTATCTTCCTCCACACTTTTAACTGAGTTGATAAGGCAATATCCCGCAATATATTGTTGCGTGTGCAACTTGGTAAACCCAGTCAAGCGAAGAGTTTAAATTCGTACTGTTATTTTACACTGCTCACTGCGGATTCTTTGTGTTTACAGAAATTATTTTACCCTTTGTTTACGTGAATCAATTTCATAGCCACTGATGTTGTCATACCTTACCTTACCTTCGAGACAATGTGCGAAAATCGCCTCGTTGAGTACGGTGACAAGACAAGAAACACTTTCAAACGAATTATCAGAATGAGCTTAGAGGAAGAGAAAAAGCATCGTGCTGGCTGGCCAGCGCTGTCTTGTTAACAAGGCGCAAATTCCTCTGATGCCGTCCAGCAATATACGCTCAGATCCCGGAAAAATGGATGATCTCGGAAACCTTTTGCAGCGAAGGAGAATTCTGAACCGATGTGTAGTGATGTTACATTCTGACATTGATAATGAAGTCGTTAATCTCAGTTCTTACCGCCACACTAATTCCGACCGCTCAGGAGACCCCCAACCTCGTGGAGGAGGTGTCACCACTTACACTAACAAAGTTTGGTGTAAATCCGTCCAAAAACTCGGAGTACTCAACAGCTTCCATAAGCTGTGAACTATTGGAGTGTAAACCAAGGTATCTGAGCGGTTTCCCAACTCTTGTAGTTGGGAACGCATATGTAGCTCTGTGCACAGCGCTGTTCGAGCTGCAAAACGTTCGCAGACCATCTTGCCTTGGGGTTGAAAACAAAATTAAAATCTTCCACCTGTGTTCCTGCCGGCGACTTCTATATGAGTGACACAATTTTCACTAGCGCTATGGATTTATCCCATTCAGGCAAATTTCCCACCGTACTCGAGACACATCTATATTTAGCTTTTACTAATAAACGAACCATTTTGTGTACAAGAGCATGTACTTCTTGGTAATTCCGACCACTGCAAAGTAAAGCTATGTCTCAGCTGATACAGTAAAGCTAGCTATGTTTCACTGACAAAAATACCATCAAGAACTGTTAAACGACGGAACTACTCAGCAGATAACACCAAAAAGCTCAAATCAACACTGTTCAACTGATTATTCGCATTTCACATATGAACACTCGTCAGCTCAATACGAGTACCTCACAGCCTATATAAACTACTGTTTTGCTCCGTGTTGACTTATTGCTACAATTTATTTACGAAGTGACAGAGTTTCATCTCCATTGCTCAACCAACTGAAGAAGAAGGAATAGGCTTATAACTATAAGCTAACTGCTCATGTTAAACATCTGTCTCTAGCTACGAAAGTTGAAATAAAACAGTTAAGCACTATGCATTCAGATCTATTTAGGCAACCGCGGTTACCGTAACCTATAGAGGCTTCTAGCACAACTCTCCAGGAAGGGTTCCTTCAAAACACTTATCACCGAGAATTTACATCAACTCAACGCTGAGTTCAACTTCTCTTCACCTAACACACCCCCTGTCTTCTCTCACTACTACTGAGCCTCCGCAAGTGTTTAAAAAGAGCCCACAAGACTGAGGCCAAACAACGTTAGTGACCCAGATGCTCTATCAGCAGTCGCTCTGTAAGAGTACGCAGATGTTATATCAACACCATTGGCAGATATTTTGAGTCAGTGCTTCACCAGTGGTATCATCCCGGACATTTGTAAATCAATCAGAATAATACCAGTGGTCAAAAGGGACCTCGGAAATTTTGGCCAATCGCCTGCACATCAACGCTGCTCAAGGTGCTGAAAGATCTGCTAATTCCCCACATTTCACAGGCGATCATATTGATGATATCAGACAGTTTGCCTGTTAATCAGGGCACTCAAAATTGGATGCCGTTTCTTAACTGGTGCATTCCATTGCTTGAGCGTTAGATAATGGATGCGAGAGCTTGCGAGTCCTATTTCTTGATTACACCAACACCTTTCGGAGCTTCGACAGACCATTACCGCTCAGCGTTTTGTCCGGAAATTGTGTCCCTTCAAATGCTTGCAGTGTGCTGCGTGATTACTTTACAAATCGCATCCACTTCACGCAACTATGCGGCAGAACATCTTCTGTACTCCAAAGCAATTGTGATGTTTTGCAGAGAGCCATCCAATCCACCTTTCTATTCTCTACGTACATTGAAATTCTCCATATTATATCAAATTTCATAAGCTGTAAATTTGCTGATGACATCGTCGGTTGCATAACTCCAATCATCGCCCACTCTTTGAAACTCCAACGTGGGTTGGATGCACTAATGTTCTTGCCCAGCTTCCGGTCTCTCTCAATCCGTTCTTTTTCTGCATCCCAACAGGCTACATTCCCTTGTACATATCTCCTCTCCCATGATTGTGTATGACCAAAACATACCTCGTCCCTCTACCCTAACATATCCTTAAGTTTTCCTATCTCACAATTTGTCCCAGTCTACCCATGTTTTTGTAACATTTAAAAAAGTTAGAAGTCTCATTCTTAAAATGCTTTCCGTTTCCCGTCCTTTAATTCTAGGGTTTGTAGTTGCATATATCCTGCATAATTGCTTACACTGTTTCCCAGGACTGATTCAAAAAGATTATGTCTTCTCTGTTCGCTAAGAAAATTTTTATCGCTGCTCTTTTTTAAATAGAGAACCACTCATAGATTTTATTGTTAACACATATTCTGATGCATTCATCAGCCTTTCATCCTAGATTTTAGACAATGTTTCACTTTTTGCATACTATCCTAGACGGTACCATATCTATTTCCACACGATCGAACTTTAAATTTCTATCTTCTACTAATTCGTGGTAACGAAACTCCATCATCTAGCACGCTTACTAATCGACCCAACAGGAATGAAACGCCGCTTTCGTGACCGAATGCTTCCTTAAGGCTGCGACTTTTCGTTTGCTGATGTCAATTGTTATTTCTCATTGATACTTTGCTGTATTACATTCCGCAATGATCCTGTGAAAATGCTGTAAACGCACCTATATGAGTGGATAAAGCGCCACGTCGCCGCTATCTTCACAGTCCGACAGACAGTCGTCAACCACCATCCATTTACCAAGACGCTCACTCAACGAAACTATAACTAGGGCTGTTTTCCAGAACTGATCAGTTTGGTTATTCAGACATGGCATTTAGAAGTAGGCTGTCTCACCTTTTTGAACCATTGAAACACGATGTCTCACGCATTGTGCCAACAAGTCTGCAGCAGCGGTTTGGTAGAGTTCTTCCTCTCCAACTCTCACAACAAAGAGGGGGTTAGTGAAGGTCAGTCAACAAGAAGGTACGCGATAGCATTATAACACAGCTGTGGTCTAAGTGGAAGAATCATCTGCAATTTTCGATGCATCCCAAGAAAACGGAGAACGAGTACGAAGTGTCCTCCTTCTTTTCATTAATCTTAACAAGGTTCCAACCTTGTAAACTTTTGAGTATTCGCTATGGGAGTGCAAATTGCCGAGTTAATATTAATGGACCTTTGACCAGTAGTCTGTTGCTTTATTCTTTGTACCACGTGACATTTCCACCAACGACCTGACGTAATGTTTTAATGTTAGCAGTCTGTCAACCTCGTCATATGACGACTTTATCACTGCCTTTCTCTCTCCCCTCTACAAATTGCCCACCTTATCAGACCTCAAAAATACATCTTACACCTGATCGATACTAGAACACAACGTGGTTACTTTAGTCTTTCTGGTGTTATTTCTCCTCGATAGACTGACCGGGACACGAACCCGGTTACTGTTACCGGTTACCATCTCAATTATAGCCTGCCCTTCGATTTTTTAGCTTTGTTTTTCATGTACTGGGTACTGCTTCTTCTGTCTTTGTCGTGGCCCATCCTAAGAGGCTTGGAGACGGCGATTCCAAAGTCTCACTCCTCTTCACGTCAACTCAATTGTGATGTCGCACAGCGCGGTTTTCACTTAAATATGCATTGCTTATTGAACGGCCCTGCCAACTGTCGTTGGGATACTTGTGTGCTCAAGTTCCGCTTATCACGGGGTGAGTTGACATTCAACCTCCACCCAACGCTCACAATTGTACATGTGTTGTTGCTTTTCTCTAGCGTTTTTGTCTTTTCTGGTAAGTTGCGTTGCACTTACGCCTCACACGCATGTAGACATTTATTGCAACCTCTTATCATCAGCATTAGTCGTTGCCAGCTGTCGCATTTCCTGCAACCCAGATCAATGTGCTTCTATACATCACACGTGATGAAGTTATTGTTAGCTAGTATTTATTTTAGCCTGTTTTCACTTCATCAGAATATCTGGGGTCCCACGTTTGCTCCCATTTTCCCATTCCTTTTTTAACAATGAATTGTGCACAATTCTTACATCCAGATTAGGTAGCCTATCGTCAAACTTTTCCACCTCCTTTGCGCTACATATGCAGCGATGTACGCTGACCCATACGAGCTGCGATCTAATCATCCGGGGTTCAACATCACATTCGCAAAGCCCAGAAAGTCAGACACTCCACCGTCTCGGTTTGGACGTTTTTTGTCCTGGTTTACTGGCTCTGATCCTCATCAAACCGGTTATGGTTCTTTCGACCAGTTTGCAGAGTCTGAGGAGTCCGTGAACCAAAGCGAGATCGATATTGAAGCCCCGGATTGGACAGCAGATCCCATGACTATCAATGTAGTTCCTCAATCGGATGACCTCCGAAAGGCAAATTCCCTTGATGTTCCCTTGCATTTAAGATACAGGTGAGTTTGACATCAGCCTGTTCATCCAAATGCTTTTCATTTTTTCCCATATACACGCGCGATGTTTTATATTTCTAATCAGCGCCTTTTCCTCTTTGTTTATTGTCGACACAACCTTGTACTTAAGCGCATCTCCCACCCTTGTCAGTCTGTTGAAAAGATGCACGCGCCCGTGCGTTGCGCAGTCATCTTGACGTTGCATCGGGTAACCGCATCTCGTTCTTTGTCAGAAACTTATGATACATCACACACCCTGTCATCCATCATTCTTGATGTCGCCCTCCATTCTTAGTTGTCCTCTCAATACTACGAACTGACAACTGCGTTCTAGACAGCTCTGAACGTCATTGACCACCATTCACAATCCTGATACGCATTTGATGGGAATGCGTATCTTTTTTGGACTGTAGTTCCTTGTGACGTAACGAAGCATGCAGTACTAAAATATACTTACTGACAGCGCATAGAGCCAGTCCAAACTGTTAACTAGGGGATGATGTCTTGTGCAAGCACATGGAGAACCCGATTGTGACAAACCGCCCCAAAACATCAACAGTTCCTCTCATGCTTAGTTGAATCACAAAATAAAGCATAGCACGTGATTTTCATTGCTAGACGATAGGATAGCTTGTACTCGATATATATCATGTTTTTTTCTAAGGATCGGGATATGCATGAATATGCATTTAGTTCTTTTTCGGTTGTTTACAACTAGCTATTAGGTTGTCTACAACCATGGAAATCATAGGAAGGTACAGTCACACGACACAAAGCAATCTGTGGTATCTTCAGAGGACATGGTACCACCCGAAGTAGGAACACCACCCCTAGACTGACCGAATAACCTAACTATATGGTGGTGGGGCGAATTTAGGAAATTGCGCCCATCGGGAACCGACGACTGATTGTTTTATTGGTACGCCCTTGGCTTGGCGAATTGCCAAACAGTGACCCAACTTACTTTGCGCCCTTCCTCTGGACTCCATTGTTCCTTTAATTAATGGGAGCCACATCTGCAACATCACATTACTGTAAAAAAAGCATTTGCTTTTTTGTAGGAAGCTTATTTGTACCACGTTCTGAAACACTGTCGCTGAACCATTTGCTTGAACGGAATAAATGCCAACCACCCAGTTGATACCACGGGGAGGTAATTCGACCACACCTAAGGAGAATTGTAGTCTGTGCTTCTCGACAACATGTTCGTCCACCAGGTTCATTTCTTTCATTTCCGTGCCTGGTAGTTACGCATATAAACCTCTACATATGCACTACTGTCTATGCATTTAATGAACAAACCTGACGCTGTATTTCACTTTGTTGCCTCACGTCGTCCGGACGTACTAGGACTGGCCGAAATCTGGTTAAATCCTGAGATCACTACCCAGGAAGTCCAGATCAGTGGCTACTCGTGCTTCTGGTGCGACAGACTATGAAACGATCGAGCCGGCGTGCTGTTATACATTCGGTCCTCGATGTGCGGGAGACTAGTGAAGATGGCTTGTGCGAACAGTTATCGTGCTCCATCCGCCTGAGACAAGGTGAACTGTTTGTGAGTGCGGCTTATCGCAGCCCGCGAAGTCGATGCTTGGACTGGTTGCTGCATGTCAGAAACTAAATTAGTCGACCCCACTTCCTGATTACGGGTGTTTTTAACTTCCCTCGAATACGGTGACCTGAGTTTCAACTTTCCCCGGGTATTGAAATCGAGGCGCGGTTTGCCGAGATGCTATTTGAAACCGGGGCAGCACAACATGTCTGCCAACCGACGCGCGTTACACCGCATTCCGCTCCATCATCTCTGGACCTACTGCTAAAAAGTTGCGAACATCGTGTACATGAAATTCAGATACTAGAGCCTCTGGCAGCTAGTGACCACTCGATGGTGTTAGCCAGCCTAGAGCTGCCGCTGCCGTACTCTCGTTTCCGCCGGAGCCGTCCTACAGTTATTGGAAGACCGACTTCAATAGTCTTAATCGAGCGGCCAGTGAACTAGACTGGTCGCTGCCACAGGATTCATCTATCGAAGCCTGTTGGTCTGTTATACATGATGGCGTGCAATCGTTGTGCGCTCGTTTCGTACCCCTCAAGTATCGGAGAGCTGCACCAGTGAGGCCACATTGGTTCGACAGAGAGTATAGTCGACTGGCTCAACGGCGACGCTAATTGTGGAATAAATTCCTCGTCTCTTAGGCGTACAAAAGGCAGCGGAATCTATGCAACAGCGCGAAAGTGTCGGCAGTTCGAAGAGGAGCTTGCAACCTCAGCGAAGACGGCCCCCAAGAAGATTTTTGCTTACGTGAAGCGGCGCCTGAGACCTGCAAGTGACGTAGCTGTGTTGGAGAGCACTGAACGTGCGTCCGCATTTGCGGAGCACTTCGCTTCCGTATATACAAAGTGGGCATGCGCCTGTGCCGAGCTCGACGTATGCAGCTCTTACTGAACTCGAGGGTTTTGGTTGTGGTGTAGAAGATGTCCGCAGTTTATTCACCAGTTTTGATGGCACAAAACCTGCCGGACCCGATGTACTTCACTCGCTAATTTTGCGGTCCTTATGGGCCGTCATATCGCCTGCCGTGTGACGGATCTGTCCAACAGGTCGCTGTCCGAGGGTGCATTGCCGAGCGACCGATTAAATTGCTTTCCCAAGTGCTCAACCCAACGTTCCAAGCGTTTTGACAAGTTGTGGATAGGCTTTCCACTCACGTCACGTATAGTTTCACTAACACCAGGTCTCCTGCTGCCCGTTTCCCCATATCAGACGGAATAACTTACGATAGTTACCAAGGGCAGCGACCATTTCCATCTCTGATGCATGATGAGACCACCAAGATTCGCGGTCTCCCTTCAAGCTAGCACGGAGTTTTGCCCGGAGTTTTCCGTGAGTCTCATTGTGTTCGCCTCCAACTGGAATGTTCGGGCGAGCATCGATAAGTTCCAGAGACTACGAAGAGACCCAGTATCCATGTTGGCGATTTGACTTACCACGTGAGGGTTTGCCTGCTGTCAGTAATGTCTGGTGAACATGAGACCAGTGAGCTTCAATTGTATCTTGAGCGCTTACTCAACTCGCATGACAGCGTACTTTGATAAGCATTCAGTACAGCTGGTTTCGTTAGTTGGCTGTTGTCAATGCGTTCAGAGCGTCGTCGTGGGCGTCCGCCAAAACACATCCTCGGGTCAGCACATACAAGTGCATGGTCAGTGTCCACACATGTGCTCCAAATCGAGTGACAGTTACGGACGCAGCCTCTCCAACGGTAACTGATTGCAATGTGATCGATTTGCGTCCAAGCCTGGTTCGAGGCTGGTGGGCACCAAGTCACCCTCCGGCGAGTGCTGTGTCGGAAATTAGTGTTCGCATGAAATAAGCGAGCACCTTCACACAAATGAAGTAACCGCTCACCATTATCATTTCGGGAGCCTACACCCTATTGGTCGCCCAGATGCAGTTTATTAGTGGATAATTTTCCAACTTGAGCGTTCAGATCACCGCCAGCACTACAATGTCCGAGCTTCTTCTGTGACGAAGGAGCTTGTTCAGTTGGCGGTAGAAGCCGTCTTTTACCGAATCGTTGCTAGAGTTTCTGAGTGCATAGGCAGCGATGACGAATAGACACCTGTTAGTCCCGCGCGACTTCGAAGCTTTGAACGAGCCAGTCAATCGGACCGCACACAATCGGCTACTGATTGTGATCCAGTCAAACAGAGCAGCTTCAGCCCGAGGAGTCGGGGCAATACCAACACCGGGTTGGCCGGTGCTCGAAGCTGCATTGTCACCGGATAGGCGCAATGAGAAAGTGCTGCTGGTGTTACCTGAAGAGGATCGCAAAGAGCTCGAGTCTTGCAGGAGGGTTTCCGATAAGCAGCAGATATCGATCGGGAGGGTCTCTAATGTTCGGGCAAGTGCTGTCTGTTGTCTGATCTGTAGCAATGTGCGTACATTGCGGCAGGTCAACCTGAAGGAGGATCGAGGGCTCCAAATAGAAACCAATGAACTGGGCTTGGCCACTTGCTTGGACATTGGCTTTTCAAAAGTGCATGATTGGCGCTCCGCGTTCACATGTGAGTTGAAACTAGAAGGTAAAAGCCAATCAAAGCAAGGTGGAGGCGAGTAAAGAATTGGGGGGTTGAAAACAAGGGAGATAGAAGTGAAGCTGGAACTGGAAGATAAGGGTGAAAAAGCGTAAGAGGGGGAATAAGAAGATGGGAAGGCTTGAGCATTAGCATCCAAACCGCTATCCACCGTGCTCGGTGCAGCAGATAGGGTACCGTTGATTTTCCTCTGCGGTGGCCAGGGCATCAGGAAATTGTCTGACGAAAGATTCCTAGCAATTTGCATCACATCTGGTGGGAACACCGAGTAAGCAACGTGCGTGTTTGACGCCTTGTTTACGGCGCACAAAAGGGAAATGAACCGCTGAGCACCGTCATTTCACGCGCCAGGCTCCGCTAGCTTGGCCACTTGTTACGCATGCCAGCTCGCCGACTCCTGCGACGTGCGTTGTTTGCGCGTCGGGGGTGTGGATGAAGGAAGAAGAGAGGTGGCCAAGCAATGATTTGGTCGAGAGCAAGGAAGTCCCTCACTTCGACGCTGGCTTCGGTTAGAGTGTCGCGGCTCCCTGGTTGGGTTTCCAAAGCCGGTGAACACATTTGACTGGATACACTTGCTGACATTGCTGGGAGCCGAACTCCGTGGCGTTTCTGCTGTGAGTTTCTTTGTCCCACCCTATCCCTCTTAGTCTCCCACTCACCATCTCATTTCGTTGCATAATATAATTTTACATAATAATCCTTTTTTAAACAACACTGTGAGATGACGAAAGCCGGCAGATCTTAGCATTTCATATTGTCTCATCAGTGCCAATACAATAAGAGGAAAGTACATACACATACATTTAGGGTGTGACCGGATAAATTGGAGACAGAGTGGGGTGCAGATGTGCCACCCCTACGTCCATGGGAAACTTAAGCTTACGAACGACTGTCTTTGCACACAG